TGCGTTTTGCTTCGTCTCATTCCATGCGCCTTACCTGATTTTTCATTATGTTCAAGGGGCAGAGTTTAATGTGCCTGTGCACAAATGCGCGTCTATGATTACCTCCGTTCTGTGAAGAGTGGGTGTGGAATTAGTAAAGTTGAAAGAATTTATAATATTCGAATTTTGCAACGAATTCTTCGAAAAAAAGGGGGCGGAGTCAGCCCTGTGTCCACTGTACAGTCTTTTTCGGTTTGGTGTATGTGCGGAGCTTGCGAAGGTGTCTAGCGTGATCTAGTTGATTAAGTGCCCGGTCTGAAAAAGAGTGGTTGGATTTGACACTCGTATCAATCTGTACTGTATCAATCACTTCCACCCGGACGAAACGGTGTTGACCTGTTTTGGAACTGGGACATCGACTCCTTGGATGGGAAAAAGTCGCAAGGCATGTTTTCTGTGATGCATCCTTTGAGTTACACGTTTAGAAGTCTCCGTTTTTAGAGGTTCGGGGGCCGATGGCAAGGTGGCGTATAGACGCTCATGAAGCACGAGGTATTAATTGACTTATCTAGGAAAAAAAAGCAGAAGTAGCCATCAACAACATCATAAATAAATAAACCTCTGTTGCGCAAGAGTTTTACGTCTTGTCGGGGGGGGGGGTACTAGCCAATCGTTTCAAGGAGCGAGCAGCCTAAAATGTGGTATGACGTGATTGATTATTAACTTGCAATTTCTTCTACTTTTTTTAGCTCGGACAATAAAGTATAGACGAGGGGATTCGCATTGTAATGTATTATGTACGGGGGGGGGGTCAATAGGATACTCCGTCGCAGTCTTCTGGACTGGGCCATCGAGAGATTCTGCCACGCGACCGTGATTCGGTGCCTGTGTTCAGCGAGGTCGCTGATTTCTCCTGTAGATCGCGTTGAGCTCCGCCCAAACCGGGTAATTGAGGGGGTTTAGGTCAGGTGACACACTTAGATATTCCGTCTTCTTCAGGTACTCAACGCCCTTCCATTCCAAGTAGGCGAGAGTTTTTCCAACGCCCTTCGATTCCATGTGGTGGCACCCAATCCTGTAGCAGTACGAAGTTTCCAAGATGGTACGGGCGACGACATGAAGGCAGGATATTCTCCTCGAATTAACCGATGTAACCGTCAGCGTTCGTTTCCAGTCCGGGGCCCACGAAGAAAATGTCGGTCTTTTCATTCCAGGAACTTCCGGTCCATACCATCAACCCGCGCCTTGGCGACTGCGGTGAAGATGATATCCTGGACCGTAGCGACGTTGTCGGAGCTGCTCGATGTTGGAGGTCTTCCAGATCAAGAGTGCTGGTCTCCAGGTAGCTGTCCATGGGTGACTCCATACAAGAAGTTTCGCAGCTGTTTGGAGGTGACGTGAATTCCATAGGCCTTCTCCAGTCCGGCTGCGATTGGAGATGGCTTCATATTTTGGTGTACATGAAGGTGATGGACGAGAGCCTGCTCCTGCTTATCGAGGAACAACATCTTGGGTATCTTTCGCCCTGGTACTCATATCCACGTCTTCTCTCTGGGCTGCGTAAACTTGATATGTGACTCGGCCAAAGT